TGAGAGAGCTGTAGGTAGAATATCTCTTGGGAGCACCATTTCCTGCTGACTCCATACAGAAGGCTTGGCAGAATGCCCTGTGCTTTTCAGATATTTTTTTCTGGTAACAAAAAAATCCTCCAGCAGGGCTGTAGAACCAGGCCCCTAAAGCCCTTGACCCTGAGTGTATAATCTCCCTGGAGACTCAATGCACATGAAGAAACATAATCTTCTTGAAGCATCTGCTGTCTGTATTGTGTTAAAATATGACTGGGGTGCAACTGTCAAATCTCCAGCTCACTCATTGCAGAATCCTTTACTGGGTAATAAAAAACGCAATCTCTCTCTATTGCTTTAAGGAGAGGTATTTTCTCGTGGCTGCAACCTGAGAGGTTTCTGTATCCAGCAGACATTTCATGTGCTTTTGTGTCCTGGGAAGGTAATGGCACACAGCAGATGGGAAACGGAGCTGTTTCATGAGGTCACGGTCATGGGCATCACGTGCAAATCCTTTGCCCACTGGGACCTTGTGGCGCATGAGCTGTGCTGGGAAGCTGTGCTGGGAAGCTGTGCTGGGAAGCTGTGCTGGGGAAGAGCTTTCCTGCTTGCACAGTGACAACTGGCAAGGAGGCCTGGGAGGACAGTCTTGGCAAATGGATCAGTCTGACAGATCAGCTTTCCCTCTGGGCCTGAAAGGGAAGGAGAGATGTTTCCTTTCATAGAGGACACGGAGAAAAGGGGTGTCTCCTGTTTTTTAGATTTCTTTATGTATTTTTCTGAGCCGGTTGAGGAGTTGATCTCTGCCCTGAAGACATAGGTGTAGGGTGCTTTATCTGTAGAACTAGCAAGGAAAGAACAATCAATATGGCTTGCCAATGATACTCATATCTGCTCTTGTTTCAGTTTTCTGTATTTTTTTTTCAACACTGTAAACTCATCTCCTTGACAGCTGCCCTGCCCTTGCTCTCAGTCTCGGTCTTCCCTTCCCCCACTTCTCCCTTTAATGCTGGTGTCCTCATTTCCTCTTTTGTACATATGACCCTTTCACTATGCAGGGATTAGTATCTCACTCATAAATATGTGAAATAGATACATAGCTGATTTAATTTGCTGGGTTTTGTAGGGCTAGTGAGACAGACTGGCATGGGGAGAAGGGTATTTTCTAGAAGGTCAGCTGACGAAAGCATCTTGGGAGCAGGATGAGTGATGTGCAACACCAGCACCAGTCCAGGAGGGACACCTCAGGGGGCAGACAGAAGGCAGTAAAACATAAAGGCTCGGCAAATATGGAAGAGCAGAAGATAAAGTCAAAGATGTCTCTGCTTCTCCCATTTGTTATGTATCTTCCAGGGAGAAATGAGAAAAATGGGATACATGAGAAGAAAAATGAGACCAGAAATCCATCCTGACTGCAGTGGTTTGAGTTGTTGGTAACTCGTTCAGGAAGAGATGCCAGAGAAGCCAAGAATAATACTGGTCTAGTGAGATGGTGGCAAGCTAGGAGGGAGGCAGAGGTCTGGGACACGGGGAGTAGATGGCAGTAAAAGCTGTGTAACTGGATGGGGGTGCCCAGACTGGGGACACAGCTGATCTGAACAGGGATTCCTGAGGAGGAGGAGAGTGGCTGTATGGAGGTGACAACAAAGAGCTGGAGATAATGCTATGAAGCCCCAGCCAAGAAAAAATTGTCAAGTGGCAAGGATTAAGTCACCAGATAGAAAACAGGAAATAGAGATGAACACTCTAGCCCTAACAGGCAATAAGACCTTGCCAGGAGGCAGCTAGTGAGGCAGAGAGGAAGGACAGGATGGGCAATGGAAGATAAAGCAGAGAAATAAGGTTTAATGAACCATACATAACAGCAGTCAAAGCCAGGCTTACTGCTGGCTTTGCCAGCAGCCATAAGGTTGCAGGCAGCCTTGCTGGGACAGTGTAACACCACAAGCTTCATGCTGGGTGCATGCCCAGAGGTCAGTGGCCAGGACAACTGCAGCCCGTGGTGTTGTTTGGAGATGTTTGTGCTACTTTCAGCAGTCATGCAGCACAAAGCCCTTCCATAAGCGAACTGCTGGGAGCCATGCTGCCCTTACTGGAAGATCAAAGGACAGCTGTGCTTTGTCATCACACTTGTCAACCAAAGTATCATTATCATTGCCATGCTGATCCAATCAGGCCCTGCTGAAGAGACAGTTCACCATCTAGTGACATTAAAAAGCTGTTTTCCTACAGAATGCCAGCACCTGGCTAAGGTGGACACCTGTCTGTCACCTGATGAAGAGTTGCACAGAGAAGGCTTCTTGTGTGCCACAAGCCATGCTCCACCCTGGTGTTGCTGGCATGCTCAAATCATTGTCAGGGATTTGCCTTCCTGGATGGAAATCGTCAACAGAGGAACAGAGGTACCTCTTGGAAATTTTGGTCAAGCTCTTTCATTGGTGGAACAGAGCTGGGATGTTTATTCTTATCCTTGAAAATTTCAAGAAACTTTTTTTAATGCTTACTCTCTCTGATAACTTAGCACTTACAGATCCGGTTAGGGACAGGCTTACATCAATGTGACAATAGAAACACAAGGCCTGGACTGGACAATTTGCAAAGTGACTGAGATTGGAGACAAATCCAGTGGCCAAAAGATGGAGCAGCAGAAGAACAGGATGTCTAGGATCAACATTGCAGCGTGGGTGTGAGTACTTTTGGTTGTTGCCTTAGCTGAGAAACAGGAGTGGACAGGATGTGTTTGGCTCAGCAGGGTACACACTGCTCTCCTGAGCAATTATAGAGTGCCTACAGACTGGAAGCCAAACCCTATCAAAGGAAACAGAAGGTCCCCAAGTTATAACTCCCCTTTTATAAAGATGAACTAGGATATTATGGTATGTTTGCCTTAATCTGATTTAAACACCATATGTAAAACATGTTTGAAAAACCTAGGCCTAACTTCCCTCTCTGAGCTGACTGCTCATCAATTAAGAGTCCTTCATCCCCTGATACATCCAACTGAGGCCATACCAGAGCACATAGACGTGCAGCTTGCAATGTCAAGAACATCAAACTTAGATCTTAACCTTCTTAATATGTATGTGGGCTTTATTTTGGATATTCTCTGGATTTCATCTGTTCAAGAAAGAGGCAGCGAGTGGGGAGCTAAACAGGGGATGGCTCTTCTTTGCTGGTAGAAGTTACAATGCATGTATGCCATCAGCTATGTTTGTGCTTCTAAACACACTCACTATATGTATACACATTTATGTGAAGGACAAGGTGAAATTATGCATTAGTCTACATTCACAAAAACTCATAGAGATTGACCAGAGAAGCTTTTTGCTGAATTTAGCCATGAAAACCTATTGTGTACCATTGTGTGGAAGGTAGAACAAACACACTGAACAGTAATTTCATACTTCCTGCTATACTTGTGCCTGAAGGCAAGTGTGTAAAATGTTTTCTGCTTTTCAAAGCACTGACAACTGCAGCTGTTGGGGGCTTCAATGGAAGGTACAGCTCATCAGCAAATATATAACATAGCATTTTTATTCAATTGCCAAAGGTGAGGCTCAGACTTGGGGTAGGGGAGCTTGGGTACCTGTCACTGCAGCATGGGCTTACAGTGGAGATAAAGCATAGAAAAGGACAGGATACTCCAAAGAAGCTGCTGGAGAAAAAGAAGCAGTAGGAAGAGCTGTGGTATCAGATGAGTGGTCTCACAACAGAAACAGCATCACAGATAAGCTCTGCAGTAACCGCAACACGAGCTGATAGAGCAGATGGTCACCTCAGTTCAGCCTTTAACATAGCTTGTTGCCCCTAGCAATATTTACCCAAAAGTACTCTACTGATGGAGATGGGATTATGTAGCAGAGGGAATCAGTCCAATTTTATACAAGATACTGAGCTGCCTATTGGCTCGGACAGTCCCTTCATGTGCTGGCTTTGACTTGGGCAGACAGAGCAATGTCATGATATGCACAACCATTTCTGCGACAGCTTCACATGGTGGAAACCAGGTAGCACTTCCTCAGTTTCCCAACTTTGTCGGAACATCATTAACTCACTCCACAAATCTGGAAACTTGGTTAAGAGGCAAAGTGTTAAATACCCTTTTCTCTTTCTGAAATGACCTTTTGGGAACTTTCATCATCTCTCGATCAGTGCTATTTGGGGTTAATTCTAACCCATTTCAGTAATTCTTCAGAAGCAAGAATTATTTCATTAGTTTGTGAAAAGCACTTCAAAGATCCTTCAGTGAAATGTGAAAATACTTTCATTCTCATTCTCAAAATACTAAGGTAAAGAACCACACTGATACAGCAATATAGAAATGTTGCAAAGGTGATTGACTACAGTGGAAAGCAACATTCTTCACTGGAAAGTGTCCCCTATTTGAAAGGCCAGACATCTCTAAGCATATGCATATCTCACCCATTTAAAAAATATTGTCTCAACTTCACATTTATGTATTTTTAATAAAGAGAAAATTGCTTGTACTTCCTCCTCTTTCTTCTGCATTACAGTATTAAAGCAGGATCACATACAAAACAACAGTATACACAAAGAGCATCACCAGATACTTAAGGGTCTTTAGCTCCTAAATTGACTAAAGCATAAATACAAACTGACGTCAAACATTTGGAATTATCATTTAAAAACTGCTATTTTCTGAGACACTAATGAAGGCCATTCACATCAGAAAATTTAGTGCCTACAATAGGAGTGAGCTACTCAAACTCCATAGTAAGGAGTCAAAGAAATGGTCTGCATCTCTTAGAATAAAAACTGCCAATTTACTTTAGACCTATGAGAAATGCCAGATACAGAGACTATGAAGAGATTCTTTCAATCTAACTTTTGAAGATTTGGGAGTGTCACCACCAGTCCTTGCTCTGCCACCATTATCAGCAGTGTTTTTATCACCCCCTCTACTCATCACAGTCCTTGTACGGTAGAAGCCCATCCTAGCTGTGGACTGGAGCTGCACAGCCCACCCCATGCAATGCAGAGTGCAATTGTGTGATGATACTGACCTGCTCCAGAGCTGTCAAAAGTCACCTTCCACATTTGGTCTTCAGGGTCTCAATTTAAGAGCTGAAATCTTAAACAAGTAAGAGCACAAATAAGATAAGAAGCAGTGATGAAGCTTATGTAGGATCTTTTTCTTCCTCTTAAGCATGGAATTAAGAGTACATTTTATAAGGCAAAATTAATTCCTGAGTAGGAGTTGCTACTATTTCAGATCCTGAAGTGGTATAGCCAAATGGCAGCACACTCTGAGGTGTGTCTATTCTGCTTCTCAGCATGATTAACTCAGCAGGATGGAGAACAGCACTATATTGCTTTTAGGACCTATACTGGCTTAATGAGCATTAGCTTTCACATCCCAAGGTGACATATTTTCCACAAAGTTGTAAGTTGGGAATCGCCTAGAGAAAAAGAGGACTGGAAATTTTGAACACTCTTCTAGTTCAGAGTAAGTTCAAGCAAACATACATTTTGGGGTAAGCAAACATTTGTGTTTCCAGAGGTAGCAAAGATTTCAGTGGGAAAGCACAAATTTATATTTGAAGATGCGGTGCCTTTGGACACAAACTAACCAGTGTATCCCCAGCCCCTGCCTAGGACTTCTGTCAAAACAGCACCTTTTCCTTCCACACCTGTGCTAGCTGCCCAGGGGCCAAAAGCAGAACAGGTGCTGGGGGCACCACCTGCTTCTGTAACTTCCCCTCTCGTTCACAAAGCAGTTTGAGTAGTGGTCAAACCCTCGATGGAGCAAAAGCTTGCCATCCTAGAAGATATAAGCTACTCCAGATGGTCCAAATTCACTATGAGGTATGTGGAAGCCTTGCTTGTGATGAGGCTGAAGTTCAGAGCCTTACAGCTCTTAAAATCAAAGTTGCCGTGCCCAAGCAGAAACAGACCTATGTTAGCATAAAACCTTGAGTGGTGCCAAGGCCCATGAGCAGCTGCAGAGCTTGCTCCATTCTCTGGCACAGCAGGTGGAAGGAGGGAATGTCCCTTCCCCAGCAGTTAGCTCAGGACACTCCAGGAGGTGTAAGAGAAGACAGGTTCAAAGGGAGGCCATTTGCCAAAAAGGGAAGATGCTCATCTGTTCTCACCAGCTCTGTGACCCAAAGTGGTTTTTAGGTGCCAAAGCAGCTGGGTAAGGTGACACACATTACTAACAGCTTCTGGTTTGATAAGAGGCCACGTAAGAAGAAAAATTTCCTTCTACAACAGGGGATGGACCACAGAGGCATTTGGTAGCTGCCAGTGTGCAGGAAGGAAGGGGAAGAGAGTATTCTCCCCCTCAGGTGGTTCAGCTGCATTTTGCAGGCAGAAGTGGAGGAAAAAAGTTTAGGTCTGCAAGCCTCCCCCTTGAATAAAAGGCATATGGCATCTATTCAGGGCCTAGGATAAATTAAAATAGAAAAACATTTGGTTTCAGTTCACATCTTGGTTGTGGCTCATGTTTTATTTACAGAAAAGGCAGAAGTTCCCATGAGTGAAGAAATCCCCTTTCTTTTTCTGCAGGTTTTAGAGAACCAGTCTGTAGCAGAACTATGCTAAACTCAGGACTTCAGTCACCTGCTTCCTAATTCTCAAAGCAGCTAAAGCCCTGCAGTCTATTTTTACCTTTTATAGTCACAGGACTAGTCAAGCAAAATCTTGATTGTATTATTCTGCTTTAATTACAAAATGCACTCAGACCAAAGGCGCAATAGTACCTGGTACGTATGTACACATTTCTCTTAGTTATAACACAAAAGACCAAAATGCCATCTGGTCCTGCTGTAGATCAAACATTACTCTCTGGCAAGATCTTTGGAGTATGAACAGATACCACAGTAATGCTTGAACTGCCTCTTGTGTGACAGACACCAGACTCTGTATTTATTGATCACACACTTTGAGATCCTTTAGGGTGGACTGTACACTTGTACACATGAGACAAGTAAGAGAATAGATGCAAAACTGGAACACTGGGGAGTCCATATCCCACCACCCCCTGGAAAAGAAAGGCAGAGATCAGGATCACTTTCTCTTTGCTGCAGTTAGGACAAAGTAGATAAATCACAAGGTTTTTTTATTGCTGGTGAACTCAAAACAGGCAACTTTAATCTACTGAGGAAGATACACATACAAACAAATGTTAGGCCTTGTGCGTTTGTTTTCTTCTTAATGTAAATGTCTCTTCAACTTCAGCTCCCGAGCTCTCATTAAGATCCTGGCAACATGCTCTGGGCAGTTCTGCAAGATGTTATAAAGAAGCATCACATGTATTAAAAAGGGAGATTTTGCAGAAAAGACAAAGCTTTGACAGCAGCCATGTTGCTCAGTAAGGAGAAGTCTGGCTAATCCTGCTGCATTAAGTATGTGGTATTATACACAATTACATTACTTAAGAATTTGCCAGGTTCTTTTCTGTTTCTGGTGTGCAAGCTGCAAGTAAAGTGCACTTCTGGGTATAAATTACCACTCTATGAAGATGCAATAGCTGGGTGGTACACGTCAGACACCAGTGGAAAGCAGACTACAAACAGCTGTTTCAATGACACAGGCAATAAGAACAATGCCTTAGGATACTAGATGCTGCTGGGAAACCCTTCTATATTTTGAGCAGTTAAATATTACATCACTCAGCAAAACACAAAGTGTTGTTTATATGGGACCTTCTTAAGTACAGACAATAACAGACAAAACTGCTGTTGCACATCAGGTTAGCTCTGCAGACAGCCAGTCCTCCACACCACACTGCTAACTCCTTTTCACCTTTACAAAGAATTTTGTAACAGCCCAGGAGAAAGCATGGATCCTTTCTAAAGCTTAGGGTTTTACACAATGTGGGGGTGGTGTAGGAGGCAGCACAACACCACATTTAAGCTATGGTGTGAGAGGACAACCCAGCTTTAGACACTGCATTTGGTGATCATGACATAACCAGGGCCAAAATGGTGGGATCCCAACTCTCATCTGCACCTTGCATCTTGTTCTGCACCAGTAGAGCTCATCTACATTATCCCCCACACAAAGCTCTTTTTTTTCCCGTCCATGTACAGTTTCAGGTGACTGTTTTGCCTGGATCTATACTCCTGAGACCAACAAGGCTGATAAACTACATACTGTTCCTCTGATTTCATAACACTGGCATCACAGCATCAAAAGAACTATCTGTTCAGTGTTTGTTCTCTTTTGATTTAATGAACTGTAAAAAGGGAACTCTAAATACCCACCTAAGGATTCTCAGTGATTTGGGATACATTGCATACCCAGGGCAGATTTGATTAGATCCTTGCCACCACTGTTTTCATGTGTCCATTGCCAGCAATGGATGCCATGTGAAACGGGTAAGGGAAGGAATAAAATAATTGCTCCCTGTGTAATACAAAAAATTATTAACACTGCCCTGTAAGAGCAGAACCAAGAAACAATTCTACTCACAGGGCCAGCAGTGCTTTTCCTCTCAGGAATGGCTGTACCAGAGCAAGAGCAGGTTCATAGCTGAGCACCCCCTGACAGAGACAAGGGACATACAAAGAAATGGCCCGACTATTTCCAAACTAAGAGTGGAATCCTACAACAGATTTGCATTTCAAGCCAAATTATCCCTGGTACAGCTCTGTTGAGTGTGGTGGAAGAACAAGAAAAAATAATCTGGCCTTTTGGGACAACTCTCGCAAACTTTCCCCATAAATCAGTTCAGGAGTGAGACATCTGACAGCTGGAAGCTCTCTGTTTCTTGCTAACTTCAAAGGCCAAGACTTGACAGAGTTAATTACAAACTTGTGGCTGCCACTATCAAACACTTTCCCTGCACCACAGCTGTCCTTGTTCTCCATAAGTGTTCCCAACAGGTTAAATTTCAAACTGTCCCTGGTGCAGGCAGGTCTACAGTGAAGCCACAGCAGTCCTTCCTGCTCCACCTCTCTCCTGCTGCTCTCACACCCTAACGCAAAGCCTCCTTCAGGCAGAGCATGAAGAAGTACATGCTTTTCAGACACAGGTGTTTAGTTTTTTGTTGTTTTTGTTGTTGTTTGCCAGTGCTGAAGGAACATGGGAGTCAGTGCCAGAGGACCAAATTCTGGGTTAGCCACATGAAGGTTTTGACCTTCAAATACAATGGGCTGCAACCAGACAAAGTCATCGACATCACCAGAAACAGAGGAATCCCTGGAAAGGAAAGCAGAAAAGTCTTGTGGGCTATATAGTCTCTACAAGGTTTGCACGGCTGAGATGGGAGCTGGAATCTGCAGCAAGATCTGCTTAGGGGGGACAAAGGAGATGGGAAGACTTGCACTATTTCTTGTGCCTTTTGCCAAGATTCAGATAGCACAGATTATGGTAAAAATCACTTGGCAAAAAAGGCCTTTTTAGAAAAAAAAAGGAATGAAAAAAAAAAACAAACAAGGAAAAAAAGAAAATATTTATATTGAGTATCAGAAGTATCAGGACTGAGATTTCAAAAAGTATAATATCTGTATAAGTTCAGCAAGATGTCCAACACCACATTATTTCATGGTGCAACAAAGAACCTGGGGAGAGGCCAGTGGGACCTGGTGAGGGGAACACCATCTACGTCCCCAGCAGACTGCCAGTCTTCTCAACAGCAGATGGATTTTGCTTGTTCCTGCAGCATCTCAGGTCCCACGGGAGGTATTGGTTGCAAGCAAGCACCTGAATATTGCCTAATGGAGTAAGCCAATCACTAACTCAGCTGGCGTGTCCATGCCCATCCACTGATTAGGTGGGGTTTTTTAGGATGCATTTCCACCGTAGCATTTCTTTTTTCTTCTTTCTCCACTTTAAAGTGTAAGCAAAAGGACTGCTTTCATCAGTAATAAGTTAAAATCAGAAACAACCTAACTAACAAGTAACTGATATTGGTCCTTGGAGCCCAAAGAGTAAAATCCATAGAAAATCTATTGGTTCCATTTTTTCTGGTATATCCCATGCACATCCCCATTAGAAAAATGGGGTTATGATTCTTATACAGCAAGAGCAGTACCTCAGAGCCAGAGCTGACTCTCAGTGGTAGAGATCTGGGCTCTCTCAGATTGCTAAGTACAGCCCTAAGTCTCTGCTCAATCCGTCTTCACGTGGCCATTGGCCAAGGCAACGGGTGCGGTGGGGGCCCCAGGCTCAGCAGTCTCATCAAATCGTAAGCGCAGGGTGTTTCTAATCACCAGCTGCTCCATGATGAAAGAAGCACAAAACCATGGGATGGCATACTCCAGGGTGATGAGGCCCATGAAGTCAAAATCAAACTGGGAATAGTCCCACGGGCAGGCATTGAACTGGCGTAGGATGAGGCCAGTGGTGAACTCCCAGAGGTATGTCCACAGTGTGTAAATGAAGCAGCGCACTAAAATGTTACACTTGTCTTTGAGATACAGATACATCTTCTCCACAATAAGGATGGAGGTGCCATAGATGAAGAGTGCCCACACACTGGTAACACCAGGGAACTTCCAGTTGAAGTTGACCACAAACTCCCAGGCAGCTGTGAACATCACCTCACAGAAATAGCCGTGGATGGCATAGAGGTACCATCGTGAGAAAGCGGTCAGAGGCTCTGCCGCAGCCATTCTTCTGCACTCACCCCAGCAGCACTCTGAAAGGAAAAAGGAGAGAGAGGGAGAAAGAAGTCAACAAGGATGTCACAAGTCCTTGTCCCCCAGATGGCAGCACACAAACTTGTAACAATGGTTAAATCTGAGAAAGAAGTTACTCTCGTTTTCACCACAGCAGATTTTAAGTCTTAGAGAAAGGTGGCACCTTACAGGGCTCCATGACTCAGGATGGGCCTGAAGAACACATACTGATCTGCCTGAAAAATGGGACGCTGCTGGTATTACACTGGCAATAAGGAGGGAATTAAGTACAAGGGCTTTGCCAGGAGCAATGTTGCCAAAGAATTTACTGGTTGCAAGTCAGCAGAAAAATATAGTCATCCCACCAGGAGTACACGTCACCTATTTACTCTTTCCAAAAAACTTACTTTTCGGATTCTACTGTGGAATAAATTAATTGAACACAGCATTGTAAAACTGAGCCTTTCCAACTGTTGCCTACAGTCTCTATACCCAAAATGTTTCCTGTAGTCTAAAACTGAGCTTTGATGGGAGTTACAGCAAGGGAACTGGAGGAGAAAATTAAGAGGTTTTACACTTGCAGACACCACACCTTGCACTCATTATTCAGCTGAACTTTTATTTTCCCTGTTGAAGAACTCATGCGTTGTATGGCTAGCATTTACAAAATAATTTTCTTACGGTGCCAGACTTCCTGATACCAAGTCAAAAAGCGCAAGAGAGCCACTGAAATCCATTCAGATTTGGCTTCAGGACAGCAAAGCACAAAGGAGGAGAATAAAAAGGAACGGCTGAGCCTAGAGAGAGGTAGTTACTCATGATCAATAGGAAATGAGAACAAACTCTAATTGTCTATACAGGAAGAAATTGGTGAAGAGTTTTTGAAAAGGCACAATTTGCTTATCACTGAGCTGTTTCATCACAATTAGCTTTTACACTTTCTGTAGAGATTCACAAGTCTGCCATGCTACAGTCAATTACACGAGATGATTATAAGCATAATTTTACTGAAGCCTTGCAGATTTACACCACAGCATGAATTTGACCTTTTTCATTCTTGAAAACTTACTCTTTCAAGTTGAGTTTCTCTGGACTCTTTACCAAGCACTATTTAACTTGTTCTGCACTTGTCAGTTCCGTGGCACAATGTGCTTAGGGAAAGGACCACACTAACTTTATGTACAGTCATTCCATGCTGGAAAGAGGCTGTTCCTGCCCTGCCCTGTAAACACAGTGCCTCTCAGAACAAAGTACATTCTGATAGGAGGTAAGGGAAACTTCTATAA